CCCCAAAACCCCAAAACCCCAAAACCCCAAAACCCCAAAACCCCTTTAGAAATAAAATAAATTGAACAGACCTAAAAGATTGAGTTCTAATGATTATGAGGGTAATTCTCAAAATTGTCTTAGATCATTATTGTTGGCTTTCTTCTGGATTTGAAGGCTGATCTTGGAGAGGAGCTGTCTCTGGTTCTACAAAGGAGAGTTAGATGATTAGAATTTAAAAAATAGCTGATGAAGTTCTATTAATTAGCAGAACATTCCACAACATTTGATAAGATTCTTCATTAAACTCAGAGAAGAAAAGGGATGTTTCAAATCCAGATAATTAACAAAAGATGTCACTATACGATTATCTACATCCTATCAAGGCCTAAAAACTCTCGCTACTCTCTTCGTAATAAGCTATCCACTTTTTGTAAAACCAAAGGGTAATCTTCATGGATGAAGACTTCTAAATCTTCAAAACATACAAAATTATTTTAAAAATTACTAAAAAATATGCTAAAATAGGATATGCCTCATTACTGATGCTTCAAGTAGAATTAGAACATAGCTTTACCTGCTGGAGCTACTTGGCTTTCTTGAGGAGCAACCACCGCCACCTTTGGCTGAGCAGGAGCCACCTCAGCTTCTGCTGAAGTAACAGGGGCCGTTGCCGCCACTGGAGCGGAGGCCAAGGATCCTCCTTGCCCATGAGATGACTGTGGAGGCAGTCCTAGCAGTGGAAAAGAGTTGCTTGGCATCGGAATCCCAGCACTGGGGAGAGGGTTTTGAAGGACCTGAGTGATCGAACCATCATAAAACTGAGGGTTATTTGGCTGAATTATCTGTGGCTGAGGAGAAGGAATTCCTGCAGAAGGGAAGGTTGGAGTTAGCGTCTGACCTTTAGGTTCTGCAGACATACCTCCACCAGTATTCATAGAACTTGTCTGGTCATTTCTAAACAAAGACGCTTGCTTTCTCCTAAGTTCTTCCTCTTGCTCAGCAGTGAGTCTATGCTTCTTCTTTCTGGATACGTTAAGGGAAGTATTCAGCATCATTTTCTTCTTTTTCTCAGTCATTCCTTCCAATTCCTTGGAGTCTTCAATGTTCATAATTTTGGCGAGATAAGAGTCTAGCTTCAAGTTCTTCATAGCTTCAGCGACATGGGCTTGCGAGATAGTTTTCTTGCCGCCATCAAGTCAAATATCATTAGAGATGGACGAGAGGTGGTTGACGAACTCTTTGGTCATTCCTAATATGACCTCATTAGCTTCAGTAGAGATTCTGGTGTCTTCAGGCAAGTAATCCTTGATCAGGTTAAGAATAGTAGCCTTTGGGAGTCCAATATCTTCGTTCATTTATTTCACTTACTTAAGCATTTTGAATATGCTTATATAATAATTTTAATTAGTGACTCTTCTACGGGGTTTTGGGGTTTTGGGGTTTTGGGGTTTTGGGGTTTTGGGG